TAAATCCGATGAGGAGAGCTATGATTGAGTTCCATGAACTTTTGTTTGTTTTTGGTCCAAACACGATAATGAACATGTACATGTTTGCAGATGGTGGTGAATGATCCGTTTGTGGCTCTCTCACTTTATCCAGATGAGAGGTGTGCTCTGTGGTACTGTCCTAGACAAACTGAACCCGGTAGTCGATTTTGTCAACAATCTCATTTGGATGCATCAATTTACGAAATTGATCACACACAGCCTGCAACCCTTTGCAACGTGAACACTCATCACTAGTTCATTCACTCAAATATCGCTACACTCATCACCAGTTCTCTGTTCGATCATCAGTTCACCGGTTAAACTATGTTGCGTACTAACTTTGTGCATTTTGTCCGGTTGTATTTATGATTCTAAGAATTATATTGTCGTCTCGACTATCATATACTCATCAAACTAAGGGCCTTTAGTTTTATCAGTTTTCACAAAAGCTTTCATTTTTAAATCTTCCAAATGGCTACTAAATTTTTTGAGAGAAAAATAACCTCATGTCTGGAAGTTATAAAGAGACAACAATTTAAAAAAAATGTAATTTAGGTTCAAAAAGTTTGCATATCAAATTCTTTCTTTTAGATTTGATTTTCACATCCAAGTATCTAACTTCTCAATTTTTAGTTTATGCCTTTTTTTTGGGTCAAACTGTTAATTCAATTTCACTTAAACCGGATTAAAACCGGGTTGCTTTGGTACAAGATGTAGACTGGCTTTTGCTAAAACATCTACATCGGAATTTCTGGACCTTTGAACATACTCAAAGGTTACAATGTTTAGATCGAGAGATAAAATGGAGATATCGTAGATGATTTCGTAGATCTCCATGTTATGCTTCTTCGTTTTGATGATGTTGATTAGGCTTTGTGAATCCGAGGCCAGATTGAGGTTTCGAAGACCCTCAGAAGTCGCGTGCAACAAGGCTTCTCGGATTGCTAGAGCTTCAGCCATCAATGGTGAGGAAACGAATGGTTTGATTGTAGAGCCCTGGAGGATGATCCGACCCTCGCTATTACGAAAGATCCAGCCTAGCCCGGCTGTTTGTGTCTCCTTCTTCTAAGCCGCATCCCTGAAGCAACGCAGCGTCGCCGGTAAATTCAATTGTTCAGGGACCTGGTGAGGATTTGGTTCTGGGTTTTGTTCCATCAACCACTCGCGTGCATCACATATTGCCTTATTGATTGTTTCCTCCGAGGAGAGACTTCGATTGCTAAAGATCAGGTTGTTTCGGGCCAACCAAAGGTTTCAGCAAACCCATGGTAGTAGAGGTCCCGTGTTGATTCCGGTGGGAGGCAAGCAAATCAAATTTTTTTACTCCGCAATATCGGATTCTATATCAGGTATAGTGTGGGTATGGAAGGGATCTTTTAGGGGTGCCAATTGCCAAACTTATTGAGCGTATTGGCAATGGAAGAAGATATGTGCAGCTGTTTCTGTGGTTCCACATCTTACACACAATGACTGATGTCTCAGGCCCCTTGAGGCTAGTTGTTCTC